TCTGCAGACCCCCCCCACCTTTTTAAAAAGAGACGCCTCACTGTAGTTTTGCCCAGGCTGTCACACACTCATTCATGGTGATCCTCCTCCCTCGGCCTCAGACTCTGAAGTGCTAGGATTACAATTATGAGCCATCATGCCCAGGTACAGTTAACTTTCTATGACTCGGTAATTCATTCCCCGTGTACCGCTGTCTCCCTGGCCCACCCCTCTTATTTCAGTCCTGGATCTTGTTTGCTCCATGATCACCTTTTCCAAGCGGGTCTCCAATTCTGACACTTCAGCTTCCACCAGTTCAATGGAGGCTCTGGGAAAGGAGAGACAGGGTCATGAGAACAGAGCTTAGGCCCACTGGGTTCGCTGCTTATCATCAAGGTGGGGGGCTGGAGTCGTGGGGTGGTGGGTACAGACAGACAAACGAATTGAGGATGGCCACCCACCCAGGAGCCAGTTATTGCTCATGTGCTATTACTATGCACATTCTAAGCTTCAATAACCCAGACCAGAGCAGGAAATGTCGAGGGTGGATGTGGCCAGGGCAGGAAGTTGCTAACCGCCCCAGGGCAGGTGCTGGGGGAGGGGTTCCAGTGAAAAGGAAGAAGGAATGCCAATTATAAAGGCCAGATGGTGCAGACAGGCAGAACAGAAGCTCTTTGGAGAGCATGGGGCTTTTGCTTTTTGCATTTTGTTTTTAAAGGGTTTCACTCTTGTAGCCCAGGTTAGTCTGGAACTCAGAGCAGTCTTCCTGCCTCAGTCTCCCAAGTGCTGGGATTACAGGTATGAGACGCCAGGCCTGGGTTGAATAGCAGATGCACCATTTCCCACCAGTTCCCTCTTGTCTCTTTATGACCTAGGCTCTAAGGGAGGTCCAGCCTGGGACACGCTGTGTGTTTGTCAGGGCATGTGGAACCTTCCTTCCCCTCCTTAGCCTCCTGGACCTGCACACACTTACCGGAAGCGAGGAGAGTCCTTGAGACATTCTTCAAAATCTAGCTTGACCGTCATCTCAGATGACCTGCTTTGGCCCAGGCAGGTGGGGATGTAGGTCGATGCACTCCCCACCCGCCAGGAGGGGTATTGATGAGGAAGAAGAGGTCCTCTGGCAGAAAGGGCCTGGGTCTGCAATTCTTTCCCCAAAGGGAAAGGGGTGACCCAGGAGGAGCTCTCACCCCAACACTTCTAGGCAGCTCTGGGAGGGGTAGGGGTGGGGCCTGGGCAGAGTGGATGCTGAGATCAGAGAAACCACAGCCCCGCCCCCAGAGACTGTCTGCTATCACCTTCCTTCTGGGACCCTGGTCTGTCTTTGCAACTTCCTCCTTTGGTGAATAAATTTTTTGAGGGTAGGCGTGATGATTTGAGTCAAAGATGTCTCTGTCACTTAAGAGTTTGTGTAAGGGCTGGAGAGATGGCTCAGTGGTTAAGAGCACTGACTGCTCTTCCAGAGGACCCTGGTTCAATTCCCAGCACCCACGTGGCAGCTCACAACTGTCTGTAACTCCAAGATCTGACACTCCTCACACAGACATACATGCAGGCAAAACACCAATGAACATAAAATAAAAATAAATAAATTAAAAAAAAAAGAGTTTTGTGATTAGTAGGGCAGTGGCACGTGCCTTTAATTACAACAGAGGCAGGCAGATCTCTGTGAAGTCAGGCCAGTGGTATGGTCTACACAGCAAGTTCCAGGCCAGCCAGGGCTACACAGTAAGACCCTGTCTACAAAAAGAAAAAAGAAAGAAAATAAAAGAAAGAAAATAAAAGAAAGAAGAAAAAGAGGTTGTGTGAACCAGGACAAGCTCTCTTGACGCTTCGGTTTCCTACTCTGGGAGAAAACCCTGTTACAAGGCCAGGTGTGTGCACACCTTTAATCCCAGCACTTGGTAAACTGTGGGGTTTTTGGTTTTTTGTTTGTTTGTCTTTAAAGACAGGGTTTCTTTGTGTAGCCTTTGACTGTCTCAGTAAACCAGGCTGGCCTCCAACTCACAGAGATCCACCTGCTATTGCCTCCCGAGTGCTGGGATTAAAGATGTTAATTAACTGAATCAGACATTGCCATCCTGCTGCAAGCCTGGGCCTTTTCATGATCCTAGGCTTTGCCAGGCTGTGGTGGTGCACACCTTTGATCCCAGGACTTGGGAGGCAGAGGCCGGTGGATCTCTGTGAATCTGAGGCCAGCCTGGTCTACAGAGCGAGATCCAGGATGAGCGCCAGGGCTACACACAGAGAAACCCTAGGTTTGGGGCCAGCAAGGTGTCTCACTGAGTAAAAGGTACACAGCAAACCTGACAACCTGAGTTTGACCTCCAGAAGCCACAACAGAACTGATTCTGGAAAGTTCCTCTGGCTTCCAACCTCTACACGTGCACCATGTTAGTGAATAAATAGTGAATTTTTTTTAGAACCCTAGGTTTTGTTTTGTTTTGAAACAGGACCCCAGGGCTGGAGAGATGGCTCAGTGGTTAAGAGCACCGACTGCTCTTCTGAAGGACCCGGGTTCAATTCCCAGCACCCACGTGGCAGCTCACAACTGTCTGTAACTCCAAGATATGACACCCTCACACAGACATACATGCAGGCAAAACAAATAGATAAAAATAAGTAAATAAAAATAAATAATTATTAAAAAAAAACAACAACAGGATCCCACTATGTAGAATAAGCTCTCCTCAAATTTGTGGTTTTGCTGCCTTGGTCCCTAAGTGCTGATCCTAGGACCCCAGTCCTCTGGTTGCTCTCGGCTTCTCTCGCTTGTCTCTGCTTTCCTGATTTATTGTGCATGGACAACCCCCTCCCCAACTCTCCCAGGCCTTGATAGAGCAGGCCCAGGCTGGGCATCCAATTCCCAGCACTCAGATTCCTGATGTTCTCTTTATTGTCCACTAGTAGAGTGGTAAGGGCAGAGGAGGGCTGCCCTCACCCCGTCCTCAGCTGGCTACATTTTCCATGGTCTAGGTTCTTTTTCCTGAGTCCACTGGAGCCGCAAGGTATCATCTAGAGAAAGAAGAGGTCGGGCTTTCTCGCAGTAGGGGTAAGCTCTTGTCCATGTGACCCTCAGATCTCTAGAACCTACCCACTAAATCCCAATGCCTCCCTGGTCAGTACAAGGACCCCTTTGCGTCTGCCCAGGCTCACATCTGCACCCGGTCCAGTTCAGAGGGTTCTGGTTACTTCCACCACGTTCCTTTTCTGAACTCCCTGGACTTCGGCCTCTCAGCCCCTTAGCCCAACAGCTGGAAGCCATGCCACCTGAGACCCATTGCCTCTGGAGGACTTGGCACTGACTAGAGAGGGGTGGGGTGGCAGAGAGGGGTCAAGGAGGGCATGTGGCGTCAGTGGCTTATGCTAGGCTGGAGGGATTCTCAATCCCTCTGGGCAACCCCGGTGTCTGTTCTCTATAACGTAGGCACTCCAGGAGAGTTAGGACCTCTTTTACTGCCTGCTGCTGATGCACTGGCCTAATAGGATTGGGAGGCTGGGAGAGGGGAGCTTGCTAAGAGTCAGGCCTAGGGAGATGGTGCCCTCACCAGGTTGCCATACAGTCAGGGTTATGTCTAGAGAGCCCTAAATGGTTTTGTCACACCCAAAGGGGCTTCCAATAGGACCTGAAGTGCCTTTGGGATTCTCAGTAACCCAGACCTGAAGAACCTGGAAGTAACATGAGACGAGGGCAGGGGCACCTAGCAAGCTGCTCGTTCTGTCCTTCCTCCCCCAGGCTGGCTGTCCTTCCCAGCTCTCACTGCTCATCTCTTCATCTTCTATGTCCTCTCCGATCTCCGGGTGGGAACAGGACCTCAGGTATCTTCCTTTACTGTAATACTCCTTACGCTGTAGGGCAGTCTGCTCCCTGAGGGTCGAGTCTGAAGCTGAGGGGAACTGGTTTCTGAAAGCAGCAGAATCTGAAAAATCACCCCAGACAGTCTGAGTCTGTGGCCACCTGCTGTGCCTATGAATCCTAGGTGTGCATGGCAGGCCACTAAATGACGGGAAAAGTTCAAGTCCCCAGTTCCCCTCTACCACCCCTCCCCATTTTAGAAAGCCTGCAGTGATCTGCATTCCCCAATGGTTCCCTCAAACTGTCATCTCTGGAGGCCACCCTGTGTGGAGACTCAGCTCCATTTGCCCTGTCTTCCCTGGAGTCCACCCCCAACCACTGCCTCTCTGTCGGACAGCAGGACTGTAAGCCTATGCTCTGAAGAAAGCAGAATACAGCAGAGAAACGAGAAGCAGAGCCAAAGAGAACAGATACGAAAAAAGCAAAGTTCACTGGGCAGAGGTGGTGCACACCTTTAATCCCAGCACTCGGGAGGCAGAGGCAGGCGGATCTCTGAGGCCAGCCTGGGCTACAGAGGGAGTTCCAGGACAGCTAGGGCTACACAGAGAAACCCTGTCTCTAAAACAAAACAAAACAAAAACAAAAAGAACGAAAGAAAGAAAGAGAGAAAGAAAGAAAAGTTCAAGGAGATGTGGATTCTGGAACAGCCTCTTGTCTACAATTCTCTTCAGTCCCCTGAGGCCCGTCACTAACCATTGGTGTCTAGGCCACGGCTGTCAGTCACCAGGACAGTCTCAGTTTTGACTCCTGGGGCCGGTCTTCCTGGCCAGCCTTTCTCCACAGGCCTGGGCTTCGGGTCCATCATCACACTTTGATTACTGCTGCCGATGCTGGCACTAGACCCGCCGCCGCCGCCGCTGCTATCGTCCTCATTGGTCAAGGGCAGGTTTTTCAGGGTCTTCAGGAACTTCCCTTCATTGTAATGTATCTTTCGGTGCTTGTCAAAATCACTGGAGTCTGTGGGCCAGTGTGGAAGCTTGGCTTTCCCTCCGGGCTCTCCCTGGAGGGTCCCTGCCACTCCACCTCCCCTTTACATCAAGGCCCACCCCGCATCTCACATACGCGTCTTGGCAAAGTTGTCCACAGCCTTGGAGTTTTTGTTATCTCCATACTGGAGGACCTTGGGAAGGAAATTGTCCATTGTGGCAAACCTGAGGGAGGGAGACTGGTTGGGGGCACAGAAGGCAGCACGCAACCGTCGGGGCAGGTGGGGGTGGGGTGGGGACCAAGCCGGTGACCCCCGGATCAGTTTTGGTTATGCCTGAGGAGGACTGTAGTACCGACCATTTCAGGAGTCAAAGAACAAAGCTATCTGAGACTGGGTTCAGAGGTGTGGGGTCGTGGGCACAGCTCTGCAGGACCCCCCTCACCTCTCTGACAGCGATTCAGGGGTCACCTTGGGAGAAGACCCGGCAGTCAGGTCCTCATCGTCTTGCAGCCTGCAGAGGAGGAAGCAGTGCTAGTACCTGAGGCTTCCCTGCCTCTTCCCCATAGTCCCTTGTTAGAATACAGGAGTCCAGGCTGAAAAGCTAGGCTTAGGACTCGGCACCTGTGGTAGGGGGTGCTGGGCTCATCCACCTTCATAAAGCCATAGTCTTTGTCAGCAGGGTGGTAGGTGGCCAAGATGTTCATTTCATCCCAGCGCTGAGACTTCCTACGGTGAGGGAAGGACATCGCAAAGGAGGACGCTCTTCCGGTAACCCTCTCCTAACAGAGGGGACTCCTTCATTCTCCCAGGCATTCAAAAAAACTCTTCTTACATTCGCTTATAGAGGCTAGGATTGGAGCCAGATGCCCAGTGGTAATTACAGGGCGGTGTGGCCAGGATTTTGTGACACCTGCCGCCCTCCCCAAGTCTTGGAACCTCAGATTTCCCTCCCAATTGGTCTCACCTTCTGCCCCTACCACGGCCTCAGGACTCCGCCCCCTTTTTCCTGGCTCCCTCCCATCTCAGGTTGGCGGGTGGGCGGCTGGCTAACAGCTGAGCTGCTTACTTCTCCGCACTGGAGGTTTTCTTCATCAAGATGGAGCTGCTGTTTTTTAGGATGCTCCGGGGCCGCTCCTCAAAGTTTTGAGAGTGCAAAAAAGTTGACCCGGACTGTGGACTACTCTCCGAGCTGTACACTTTAGGCTCCCCCGGCCCAGGGATGGACGCCCTAGTTGCACCAGTTCCAGTACCAGGGGATTTGCTGGACCCAAGACTACTGCCTGCAACCTCCCTGAGTTGCGGACAGGGTCCGGAACTGAGGGTCACTGCCTCTTCCGAGTGCCGGATTGGCCCGGGACTGCGAATGACAGTGCCCCCGGAATGCGAGAGGGGGCCAGTACCGCGAAACAAGGCTACCCCGGAGGGCAGTCCGGTGTCAGTTCGTATACCTCTGACACCTCCAGGTATTGCCCTAGGAACCCCGCGAGGGGATTCCGCACTGACAGACGCGAGAGACTCGGGCTTCTCCATGGCTCCGCTCGGTAGCCGCTTCAATTACTCCGCCCGGGCGCCCGGCTCCACATAGCCCCGCCCCCTGGCCCTGCCCCCCCCGCGGTGGGCGGGGCGCTGGGGGCTCCGGGTCAGAGCGGACCGCCTCCGCCTCCGCTCCGGGGCGCCGCGCTGGAGCCGGTGAAAACAAGACTATCGGCCGGCCCCGGCCCGGGAGCCCCTCCGCACGCCCTTCTCTAATTGTCACACCCAAAGGCTTTCTTTGTCTCTGTGATTTGTTCCCGCCCTTCTCCATCATCGCCCTGCTCCGAATCCACCAATCAGAGTCGAGGGGCCTGGCCAGGGGGCGAGCCGCCTTGTGACGTCATAACCCGGGGGCCCTGCCACCTCAGCGGCGTCCTCTGAGTAGGGTCGGGCTTCTGTTAGTCGCCCTCCGGTGACCTCTTGGAGTTAGCAGCTCCGTTGCTTGAGATGACCTGTCGGGGTATCGCTAAGGCTCTTTATTAGGGATTTTTAAATCTAAGGGTCTCCGTGGCTCGGAGCTCAAGTTGGTCCTGGACCGGCCGCGGGCTCTGCCCCCCCCCAGCCCCCGTCAGCTCCCTGCGCCTCGTAGCAGCGGTGGTGATGCAAAGTGGGTGGGGTGGGGGCGGGGGAGGTTGCGACAAAAGGTGCGGGACTAGGCCGAGGAGAGGCGTGATGCGTGGATGGATTGCGACATTTCCGGTGTCGGTCTTCTGGAGGACTGAGACTTGGATTTATAACACTGCCTTTTGTCTGTCCCCCAAACAACGTTTATATCGCTTTAAGGCGTGCAGTGGGAAGGGAAGCCACGACTCGTTGTGTTAACGCGAAGGCTTGACTAGGTCTTTCCCCGGCAAGGGTTGGGTCCTCGGCGCCGCGCGATGTCGCAAAGTGTATTCGGGCGCTAGCGCGCCTTCGTCGCAAATACGCCTGCGGCGGGCGTTTCTTCCACTCACTGTCGCAAAAAACTGCCCAAATCCTCCCGTCTCTCATAGCCGCTCGCCTCCCGCTGTTGCCGTAAAGCAAGCCCCTCCGACCCCGTCGTCCTTCCGTTCCCCTCGTGATAGACCTTGGTTCCTGAGCTCTGGATGCTTCAGTGCGGGCAGTGCCGTAAAGCAAATCAGGCCCCAGCCCCCGGCCGTATTCCCCCGGGGCGTCTGTCCGCCGCGGTTGCCACGGTGCCGCCAAGCGCGGCTGTCGCGCGGCCGCGGTATCAGCGGCGATGGCGGCGGGGTCGGGTGGGAATGGGGGCTCTGGGGCAGGCCCCGGGCCGGGGCCGGGGCCAGGCGGGGGTGGGGGCCCTGGCGGCAGCGGACCAGGCCTGGGGTCCAGCGGGGGTCTCGGCAGTGGCGGGGAGCTGCACCCGCGCACTGGGCGCTTGGTAAGCCTGTCGGCCTGTGGGCGCACGGCGCGGCGGCAGCAGCCGGGCCAGGAGTTTAACCACGGGTTGGTGCTGAGCCGGGAACCCTTGCGCGACGGACGCGTCTTCACTGTCCGCATCGACCGCAAGGTGCACAGCTGGGGCCGCGGAATCGTGGTGGAGGGTGGTGGGAGCGGAGGAGAGGAAGAAGAGGTAGAACTGGCGGAAAGTCTGTGTGTGTCCAACCAAGTCCCCAGGTACCGACAGCGAACCTGCAAACCGGAGTGCACCGGAGAACAGAAAGAATAAGAGCCTGAAGCAGACACATTCATTCTGAAGGAGAATGAGTTTCCTCAGGACCCAGAAGCAGGACAGGGATACAGGGCCCAGCTACTAGAATGGCTAGTGGACAGATCTAGCACGATCTCTTGGGGATGGAAGATAGACAGGTGTCCGAGATGTGATGGAAAGAGTAAAGAAATAGCAAAAAGCGCAAACTATTGAAGGACAAACCCCCAAAGCCAGAAAGATAGATGAGGAGACATGGGAAAAGGGAGGTGTGTGGGACTTGCTTGGCTCAGAGAATTTGGGAAGAGAATGAATCCGGATGGAGCTTTACCTTACTAGAGGACTGGGAATGAGAGTGATTTAGGAAAGCAAGATATGTGGATCTAGGAAGCATGTGACTGGGGTCGTTGAGGAGCCACTGAGACTAGGGAAGTCAGAGGTTGAAACCAGGGTCCTTAACCAGCTTGCTCAGTGGGTGGAAGGGTAACGTGGTAAGCACTAGGCAGCTGGATACAGCACAGAGTTGCTAAGGGAGAACAGGTCTAGATAGTTATGGAGTGAGGTCTAACAAGGCATTTGTGAGTCTATGTTGTCTCAGAGGTCAGGGCGAGAGGCACACTGTCCTGTGAAATGTAGTTTCTGGTGGTGGGATTCATACTGAAACTCTGTCCACCCCTCTCCCGTAGGTCAACTCCTGGAGCGGTTCCATTGAAATTGGAGTGACAGCTCTGGATCCCAGTGTACTGGACTTCCCAAGCAGTGCCACTGGGCTGAAGGGAGGCTCCTGGGTAGTGTCAGGCTGCTCGGTGCTGAGGGATGGGCGCTCTGTGTTGGAGGAATATGGCCAGGACCTGGACCAGCTTGTCGAAGGGGACCGTGTTGGTGTGGAACGTACAACCACTGGGGAGCTCCGGCTCTGGGTGAATGGGCGGGACTGTGGTGTGGCTGCCACAGGCCTGCCTGCTCGCGTCTGGGCTGTCGTGGACCTTTATGGCAAGTGCACCCAGATCACTGTGCTGCCCCCTGAGCCAGGCTTCAGCCCTCCTACTCCTAGCCCTACACCTCCCCTTGAGCCCTTAGCCCCTCCAGAAGATTCTGCCTCGTCGGAACAGGGGACCTCTGTGGATGAAGGTAAGAACACAGCTTCGGGGAAGCAGGAGGTGTGGCTGAAGAAACGGGCAAAAGTAGTCAATCACAAGTCAGGTGGGGGAGGGCAGGGCCATTGAGCCAGAGCCTGCTGTAGGGGATCATAGGGGTCAGAAGAGAATGGTCCCTGAACTGTGGGCCCTGATGCAAAGGCTGAACCCTTATTCCCCTCCCATCCTACCTGGTCCCTAGCCTTCATGGTGTCCCCAGCGCAGGCCCGGCCGGAGACGTTTCCTAACAGCCTTGATTCGCATAATGGTGAGGGCTTCGGGGAAGCCCTGGGCAGGGGAGTGGGTAGTGAGGTGGATAAGGGTGGGACTTCAAGAGCTGGGTAGGGAGAAAAGGGTCCCAAGCTAGCTAGAGAGGATAGAGAGCCTCACCTTGACTTCCTTTCTCTATCTGGCTGCTATAGACTTTGCCAGCATGGAGCTCTCCGAGGTGGTGAGCAATGCTATTTTGTCTGCCTACAATGGAGGCCTCCTTAATGTGAACCTGAGCTCCCCACCAGCTGGGGATGGACTAGCATCCAGTGGACCTGCCACTTCTCCCATCCTGACTTCCAACGATGCCCTGCTCTTTCATGAGAAGTGTGGAACCCTCATCAAACTCAGCAACAATAATAAGACGGCTGAGCGCCGGAGGCCCCTGGATGAATTCAACAATGGTGTTGTCATGACCAACCGCCCTCTTCGGGATAATGAGATGTTTGAGGTATGTAAAATCCTGAAGTCTAGCTAAGCTTCTTGCCAAAGATTGGGAGCTAAATGTAGGGACTGATCCTTGTTTCCGGGATGGTAATGCCTGGTGAAGAGCCCAGGGTTCGAGGGTTCGTCTTTCTGTTCTTCTGTACTCTGATCCTGTCTGCTCTCACTCAACCCCAGATCCGTATTGATAAGCTTGTAGACAAGTGGTCAGGTTCCATTGAGATTGGTGTCACTACCCACAATCCCAACAGCTTGGAGTACCCAGCCACCATGACCAACCTCCAGTCAGGTACCGGCTGTGGGGAGGGCCACGGGTTGTAGGTTGATGAGGGTGAGACAGCCTGTACCCTAACGGGGTGTCCATTTTTACTAGGTACCATCATGATGAGTGGCTGTGGGATCCTGACCAATGGCAAGGGTACTCGCCGGGAGTATTGTGAATTCAGTCTGGATGAACTACAGGTGAGTGTGCAGCTCATAGCTTGGGCCAGTCAGGGGAGCCAGGGCTCCAGGCAGTGTGATCTAAGACAAAGACCAAGTCCCTTTCTCTCTGCTTCTTCTAGGAAGGCGGGGTTGTCCAACAGGATCTAAAAGATGGTTTTAGTAGTACCTTTTTGTCCACTGGTGCTAGGAATGGAACTTCCACTGAGTTACATCTCTAGCCCTTAGAGCACTTAAACAGATTGAGATTTTAGAGAGTAGAGGGGAGATTAGGGTTTTTTGTTTGTTTGTTTGTTTTTTGCTTTTTTTCGAGACAGGGTTTCTCCGTGTAGTTTTGGTGCCTGTCCTGGATCTCGCTCTGTAGACCAGGCTGGCCTCGAACTCACAGATATCCACCTGACTCTGCCTCCCGAGTTCTGGGATTAATGACGTGTGCTACCTCCACCTGGCAGGAGATTGTTTTTAATGTGGTTTAGCTCAGTAGTACCTACTTTACATTGGGCATTTGGGAAATGTGTCTGGAAAGCAGGGACTAGGCCCTGCCCTAGAGTGGTCTTATGTGAATTCCTTCAGTAGGTGGTCTCCTGTGGAATGGGGTGGTAGAAAGTGCCCAGGACTGCTGGAACCTGAGCCTGAGTATAGCTGGATTCCAGACTAGGGTCTTTCTTCTTTGGCTAGGAGGGTGACCATATTGGCCTGACGAGGAAGTCCAACTCTGCGCTGCACTTCTTCATCAATGGCATTGATCAGGGTAAGGTGACACACGAGACAGACTGCTGGCCGGGCCGTCCGTGGGTCTGTACCTTGCCCTTCTCTGTGGTGCTTGCTCTTGTTCTGTTTGACTCTCTGATTCTCTGCTGCCACAGGTGTAGCTACCCCAGTGACACCACCAGTGGTGTATGGTGTGGTAGACTTGTACGGGATGGCTGTGAAAGTGACCATCGTCCATAATAATAACCACAGTGACCGTCTCCGCCGGAACAATGCCATCCTGAGGGCACTGTCCCCGGAGGGTGCTCTCCGTCGGGCTGCTCCTGCTGCCCAGGCAGAACCTGAGCGCCTGCTCTTCCATCCAAACTGTGGACAGAAGGCAGCCATCACCCACGAGGGACGCACTGCCCTTAGGCCCCAGTATGACCTGTGGCGTGGGGAGAGACCTGTGAAGGGGCCCAGATAGGGTGTGGGATCAGTGAGGTGGGCACGTGGGAGGCAGAGTGTATCTGGTGTGGGAATTCTTGGACAGAAAGGTGGAGACTTCCGGAGCAAGAAGTCTGGTTGGTTGTCTTGGGACAGTGACTATTGGACAAACATTGCTGGTTTAAGCCTCGGCACACTCAGTGAGTGTGTTGAGTTCTGAGTCCTCACTTGCTCTGTCCTCAGCGCCACTGATGACTTCAATCACGGCGTCGTACTGAGCAGCAGAGCCCTGCGGGATGGAGAGGTGTTCCAGGTGCGCATTGACAAGATGGTGGACAAGTGGGCCGGCTCCATTGAAATTGGTGTCACCACCCACAACCCCGCCTACCTCCAGTTACCCTCCACCATGACCAATTTACGCTCCGGTGAGATGCCAAGAAGGGCAGGGCTGGTTTAGGGTCCAGGGAAGAAACTGGTCCAACGTTCTGGATCCTGCCCTGTTCGTCACCTTCTGCCACTTCTGTCCCTGCAGGGACCTGGATGATGACTGGGAATGGGGTCATGCACAATGGGACAACCATCCTAGATGAATATGGACACAACCTGGACCGCCTCAAGGTGAGAGAGTAGGCAAACTGATGGGTTTCGTTTTGGGAGAGTCAGTGAGGTAGGATGGATGCAGGATCATCTCAAGCAGGAACTCTGCCTGACTCCTCACTCTAGCCCCCACTTCTTCCAAGGCAGGGGACACAGTGGGCGTGGTACGGCGGGAGGATGGAACTCTCCACTTCTTTGTCAATGGAATGACTCAGGGCCCTGCTGCCTGGAATGTCCCCCCGGGTGTCTATGCTGTCGTCGATCTCTATGGCCAGGCTGCCCAGGCCACTATTGTGGATGACGTGGGTGAGGGCCCAACAGGGCTGGGGTGAAGGATTAGGGTGGCCTTGGGAGTCAGGAGAAATACCTAGAGACTCACTGGATGACGCCTGTTGCAGAGGTACCTCCAGTCTCTGAGCCACTCCCTGAAGGGAACAACCAGATGTCTCCAAGTTCTCCATCCTCAGCAGCTGGGGGCTCCGACCTGCGCTTCCACCAGCTGCATGGCAGTAATGCAGTCATCACTAATGGGGG